TTTTCCCTCAAAAACATTCCGAAGGCAAAAGCTCAGAAACCTGCTGGGGCTGCGTCAGTCTGGTGCACGCTTGCCCCTGCGGAGAAACACCGAAGAAGCGGGAGCAGGGCCTGGCGTAGCTGTGCGGGGACCGGTGGGACATTCCTGGCGTTACTTGCTTTAACTCGGCACGGTGGCCACCAGCTGCCTTGCACCAACCCAGCCGCGCTGGCCCTGGTACGGCTGGGCTGCGGGCAAGGGTTTCCAGCTGGTGCTGAGCGCTTATCCCAGTTGCACTCCCCAGCGGGTCCCTGTCCTGCTGGGAACAGGAGCCTCCAAGAGCCTGCAGAGCCAGGCAGGGGCTGGAGGCTGCTGGGCCCGGGCTCTCTGGAAGTTCTTTGTGTTTAAGCTCAGACCAGACCCATCCTGTGCGTTTTCAGTAACAAATTCAAGTGTTTACACTGAAGTCACATTTGCATATGAATGCTGCTATTTTGGTTTGCACTGCGATGAGTAGGAACTGGATTTTGCTTATTAAGTATTACTTTGGTATTTAACATAGAGGTGTTTTGCCTAGTAACTTATTTAGTGTTCTAAAACTTTAACTTCCAGAACCATTGTGTTGACCTGTTCTCTAAAACCTTATGCTGCACCAGACCTGTTTTCTGTTCTGATTGCTGTAAAGGGCACCGACCGCCGTACTGCGACGGGGGATTTGCTGTGCTGCTGCTCTGTGAGCGAAGGGACAGTAGGAGGCTGACCTGGGACAGATCTAGTGGTGAAACATGAGCGAGGGAGCAAGGTGACGCCGCTCCGTTGCCTTCTGACCCTTTTCTTGGTCTGATGGCCACGTCCTGTATCACTGATTTTTCTCAGTCCTTCAGCTGGTGCAAAGCTTGGCCCGGGGCCGGGTGCTGTGCGGGGGGATGGCAGAGCTTGCAGCTACAGCTCCGAGTTCCCCCAGCAGTGTTCTTGTTTGATTCATTCCTCGCTCCCTGCTGTGTCTCCCTGTACAAATAAATGCTGAGCCACCGCTGCAGGACTCCTGTTTATTCACGGGTGTTGCGTTTGTTACCAGCCCGGCTTTGGTCCCCTCAGGGGTCTGTCTCACCTGGCTCTCGCTGGCGAGGGGGCAGGAGGGCAGCGTGGGGTGAAGCCCCTCTGCACAGAGCTGTTGGCAGGGAGCTGAAGGTGAAAGCTCAGCCTGGCAGCGCCGTGCCGGCACCGGCAGACACCAACAAGCAAAGCTCAGCGATGGAGACTCTTGTTCTGCCCCAGGAGTTGGCTGAAGGGGCTCTGCATTCCCAGGTGAAGCACACCATGAATTATTGTTGTGCCTTGGAACAACAGTCCAAAAGCACAGCCTCACTCCCAGGAACAATCAGCACCGACGCTGGGGCAATACCGTTGATTTAAGGGACTTTAAAAGCCAGTTCTGCTTGTGGAACAAACTGCAGGTGACTGTACCTGAGCTCCACAAGCCCCGAGCTGCCTTGGAAAGAGAAGCTGGACGTGGTTTTTATCCAGCAGCCTCGGCCCTGTAGCAGTGCAGCCTGCTGCTGGTCCCTGTCCCCACAGCCAGGCACATCCAGAAACTAAGGCAGAGCCCCAGGTCCTGCCCCCTGTTTTCACAGCGGAGACCCAAAGGTCAACTGAAAATGTCAGAAATATGTTTCCAGGGATTATGGGTCTGTTTCAGACTAAACCAGAAGGGTCTGTGATAGTTTCATAATGTCACCTTTAACATACAAAAAGGCAGATAAGGATAATAGTGAAGGATAATAATTAAAATTACTAGTTACCATGTCAGAAAACAATACTCGTGTGTGTGTAGGGTGACATTGTGCAGTATCTCTGACTTTTCTTCCAGCACACAGAGGGCATTTCTTGCACTACATGGGCAAAATGTAAGCTAGGGTTGAAGAAAAGCAGCCCTGGTTTCGGGGAAGCAGGGCCTTCCAGGTTAGAGGGAATTATGCAAATGTCACCAAAACCAAACAAAAAAAAACCAAATTTTTTTACAGTCCCAGACTAAGAAGCAGGAGCACCCCAAAACTTGACCTGAAACTGCTCAATAGGCTTTAGTTTACAATATAAAACCACCAGAGAACAAGAAAAAAAAAGACATTCCTCCCCTTGCAGCCTGTGAAATGCTCAACAGAAAGACAGCCGGGGGGCTGGGGGTTTGTAAAGGCAGCAGCACGCTTTATTTCCGCTGGAGGAAAAGCCCCCATTCCACCTCCCCCCTCCCAGCTTTGTCACGAGCTCACCGCGAGGCTTATTCCCTTTTTCTTGACTGCGAAAGCCACAGTAATCCCCTTTCCAAGGAAAGATGCGATTCCCCCTCAGACCCCTGCCCCCGCCCACGAAAGCCGACGTTCCTGCAGGCACCGACCGAGCTCCTCCGGGATGCGAGCGGCAGCGCTCACGGGAACGGTGCAGAAAGACCAGCTCCAGCGAACGCTGAAGGAATTCCCGTCATTTGCTATGTAAAACAATGGGTTATTGGTTTAAAATCGGGTTCCGAGTTACCAAGCAGCCGTTGGAGAGTGATTTCATACTGGTTACGAGCTGGTCACGCAGAACCGCCCTGTTTCGCCCAGGAACAAGCGCAGGATTAGGCAGCGAGGTCAGGCCGTGGGTACCAGCGGTTCTTCTGCCAGCCGGGTCGGAGGAATATTGCTCATGTGTCTCTCCTGTAAGGCTTTCCCGTGGGTGGGCGTTGTGGAGTGCCCTTGCGAGTCCCAGTGCGGGCACGGTCAACGCTGGCAGAAGTGCAGGTAAAACGGCTACAAACACCTCTCGGGTGCTGAAGGACCTGAGGAGAGCTGGTTAAAACGCACCCACGAGCTGTTACACCACCCTTTTCAGGAGTGTAGTCATCTTGGCTTGTTTTAAAATCAATAAAAATACTCAGATAAAAAAATAGATGTATTCACATGAAGGATGAGCACTTGAGTTTTAAAAAGCAACACACGTTTCCCTTTCAGATGGCAGAGTTAAAACTTGGCTTCCCATAAGTACACATGAAAATTTCACCTGAATGTTTTGCTATTTGCCTTGAGCACCCCCACGCAGGCACGCACACCAAGGGGTCACAAAGCAGCACCTGTAGCTATCACTTATTTCCTTGCTGCCCTCCGACCCTGGGAACGAGCTGGTTTTGAATCGCTGCAGAAACTGCTACTTTACTAGACAGATGGTCCCGTTTTAGGATCTAAAATTTTACTGGCTACTTGTTTTGTCCTTTTTCAGAAAGCACTAGTTTTAATCTTGAGCTTGGATTAGCTGTTCAAGTATAAAATTATCCCTCTGAAGCAGGAGCACATGACAACATGTCAGTAAGTGACCAAAGCGAACAGAAAACGTCTGTCAGTGTGGATGAGGAGCTACCGCCTGGGTGTAGATGCATA